CATCTATCTACCTACCTACCTACCTACCTACCTACCTACCTACCTACCTACATACATACATACATACATACATACACACACAATCAGTGTTACTGCTGAAGTCTAGTACCCAGCTAATACTAATTGGTGAAGGACTTTATGTCTGAAAAGTTTTATGCACCTGACTTATAACAGAAATTAAGTCCTAATAATCTAGCAATAGGTACTATGAGTCTCTCAAGAATGACCACAGTGAGAAATCAAATCAGCACCTTCTTACATTCATATGTAAGAGGCACATAAAATGGATTTTGTAACTTGTTAACTAACATACTTAACTTTGTATTTTAACTTAACTTATTTCTCTCTTTTATGAGGATTTTTCAAACCACTATAGACTGGAATGGAGGGAAACTTTTTTTCATATCACTGTATGGATTGATTGATAGCTTCTAACATTCCTAAACTGAAAAGAAATCTAAAGAAGAATGAATGGATACTAATTCCTGGTTAAAAAAAAATGTTAGTGCAAAACTGGTATCTAGTATGTCTCTTTGTAATATTCAAACAACTTTTGTTGTTGATGTGCAAAGGAGAGGTTACTTTTATCCTGTTTCCTCTTGCATTTTCTTTGTTATGTTAACTATAAAAGGGAATGTAAGATGGGTTCTCCCTTTTTATAGTGAGTTCTCACTGTCAGGGTTCCCTAATAAATTGCTTTTAAATTATCTTCCAACTTGGTTGCTGTTGGGAAGGTAAACCAAGGTAGAACCTAGGGCCAGATTTGCCTGTCACTTGTCATTAATCCTTTTCCTAATACAGTTTAAAGTAATTACATATTGTTGGACTAAGATAATGTTTTCTGAATTACACTGTGCGCCTCCCAGAGGTTAATTTCCTCAAATGGAATCCCATTTCGATTAAGGTAGCCAATGGTGAAGATATTGGACTGAGAAGGCCCAACTTCAATTCCTCACTGAATATGGATCTCACTGAGGGGTTGTGAGAATAAAATTATAGGAAACCCAACATAAACCGCTTTGAACCTCCTGGATAAAAAGGCAAGATAAAAATGTTCAGTGAAACAGTTCCAGATAAATGAAAATAAAATTTCATTCACAATTTCATTCCATATTTCTTTCAGATAAAAAGAAGCACTGAAATAGTTTTTCTCCTTTGGTACTATTTTCAATTATAAGAAACCACTGGAAAAAGCTTTGGCATTGACCTCTTAATTAATACCACTGTTGATCCTCAACTAGTTCAATATGTTGTTTTACCCAGCATGCTTCTGTATTATTCTATATTAAAGGAAGGGGAAGGTAGGAGAAAAGAAAGAACAAGTGGTAATCTTTCTTTTTGACCTGATTTCTGGTTGCTATAGCTTTTATTCATGGATGATAAAATTTCTAAGCTTTGTTAGCTTTTCAGTTTCTGGAAGTTTACAAAATGCATAATAAGAAATGGAATTGTACAGTTACAAAATATATCTTTTTTGATAGAAGAGTAATTCAATCACACGAGCAATTTAAAATAACACTCAGTTCCATTATCTTTGTCAGTAACTGTTCATAGGAATTTATGGCAAAAACCCACACACATTGTCTCAGAATTAACTTATTTAACCCTGAATAAAATGGTACGTGTCAGACTGTAGCTTATGACTCACAGATTGGTACTGCAATTTTCTAAAAAGGATCCTTACTAAGAATCATGTGAATACTTGTTGAATTCTGTAAGAATGATCACACGCTGCAGACCAACTTTGTTTCTGTATGACCTCAAACTACATTTCTGCTGCATTATTCTTTATAGTTCATTAGTCAAATGGTCCAGATTTTTTATCTTGGATGTGTATAAGAAAAAGTGGGAAATTATGGGACTGGAAAATAAAATATATTTTAGGGACTTCTTTTACAGCTACTCATAAAAACAAGAAATCTATTTTGGCTCTTTGATTAGTTTGAATGCCACATTATACATGACAGATTCCAAAATCATAAAGTCTTCTTAACTACACTTACCATATACGATCAGTAGGTGGGGGCGGAATGTTAATTGCTAACATCCCTTTGCACTCTTGAACCTCAACGGTGAGCAGGAGCGGTGTATTGGAGACTTCCTCAATCTTTTTCTTAATGAATTCTGTCTCGGTCGCCTTCTGGAAATATTTTGACTTGGTAATTTTATCCACAAATCTCATTATTTTACTTGTTCGGGACACTGCTCCATACCTTTAAGGAAGGAAAGGAGAGGAAGTCATTTAAGTGAGTTTCAGCTACCCTTTAAAAAGCAAAGGCTAATGCTTTGTGGTATTCTGCAGTTGAAAATACAACATGTTAAGGGCACAGAATGCCAATCTGCTATTACAGATTGTGAAGTGTTGCATAAGTGTACAGACAGCCCAGAATGATAGTTTCTGTGAATAAAAACAGAAAGATCCAGAGACCTGGCTGTGACAACTCAGAATCAAAACTAATTTAAAATCAGATGTCATCCACTCATACAATAATGATTTTGATGAAACATTGTTGGCCCAATGTTCAGTATTATTCTTGGATAGCCCTACATTCTACTGGGGATTTCCCCAAATGTTTGAGAGCTTTGGCCAAACAGGTGGCTTACTTAGTTCCAGTGGACCTTTCAACCCCAAACTGCAAATTCAAGGATGTAGCAAGAGAATGCACAAATTAAAGGATTCTGGATTTTTCACTATAGCATTATTGTTCTCCACTTTTTATATTATGGTTCTGCTGCACGTTTGTTTATTACTTGACATGGATTCCAGTAATTTTAAAATGCAGAATATAAATATTAAAAAAGAGCCCCTGGGGACTTTATTCACATAGTTGTTTCCGACTATAGGGATTGGTGCTCATCTCCATTTCAAGGCCATTGAGCCAATGGTGTCCGAAGACATTACTGCAGTCATGTGGCAAATATGATGTCATGGAGCCCTGTTATCTTCCCACCAAAGTGGTACCTTTTTATCTAATTGCATTTCCATGCTTTCAAACTGCTATGTTGGCAGGAGCTGGGGAATATACCATATTTTTTGAACTATAACACGCTCCAGAGATTATAAGACACACCTAGCTTTTGGGAAGGAAAACAAGAAAAAAAAAATCTGCCTCCCAGAAATTTGCCTCCTTGCAGCAAACAGCAAACAGCTTGGTCAGTTTCAGCACAACCTGATTTAGTACGAGCAGCTCATTGGCAGTTAGATCTGCCTCCCAGAATACCATTGATCAACTGTTCCAGGCTGTGGGGATCGCTGCCGTCCATTGATACTAGTTCTGGCCATCACCGCTGTTATCTATTGCTGCCTCCACACGTCCTGTTTTGGCCCGTTCCAGATGGCGGGGATCGATGTCGCCACCTATCCCTGCCACAGGGTGAAAATGGGACATATGGAGGCTGAAAACGGGGCACATGGAGGCGGCAATAGGTAGCAGCGCCGATGGGTGGCGCCGGCGCTGATGGGCAGCAGCAATCCCCGCAGCCTGGAAGAGCTGATTGGTGGTATTCTGGGAGGCATCCAAGCGCCAATCAGCCGCTTGTGCTAAATCAGGCTGTGCTGAAGCTGAC